CATCCGCCGGCCCTTTTGCTTCAATTTGACCATGACGGTGTTCAAATTCAAATTTCAAGCGAATGAGAGAATTTTTTTACCCTTTTTGACGGTCGGAGCTGGGTCCAGCGCAGTGGCAGGTAGCAGTTGACTCCCTTCTTCGACGACTGGTTCTTCTTCTTCAGCAGGGGGCTAGCGCCTAGGATTAGGGTTCGGTGTGAAATGAGATATTTATACCCATCTCCCTTTAATTTGGACCATTCATCACGTTTGATTTTGATCATTCGATTGCGTTTAAAGAAAAAATAAATCTGGACCGTTCATTGTGATTTTGATCTGGATCGTACGATTGTGTTTAAAGAGGGAAAAAATCTGGATTGTTCATCATGTTTAATCGCGACTGTCCGATCGCGCATGAGAAAGGAACGGATCCGGACTGTCTATGCACGCTAGAACAAATCTGGGCCGTCCAATCGCGGGTACGCAGATTGCCAGCGTGGCCTCCCGCGTGGCACCGAGTCAGCGTGTCTTGCCACGCTGTGCGCTCCGATTTATCGGGACTACTGACTAGACGGTCCTACGTGATAGATTTTTTCTAAATTATATTTTAACCCTAATTTCTGATTTTTCTTTCAAAAATATCTCCCAAACCTAAATTTTTACCCTTTTTTTCCAAAATTATTTTCAATTTCATCTTCCACCTATTTTTTTTTTCTAATTTTACATTAAATAAAAATTTATAAAATTAAAAATTATATATTTATATATTTTTTTAATTTTTAAATTAATTCTGGGCCAAATTTCGAGCTCGGATATTACAACTCTCCCCACTTAAAAGAAAATTGGTCTCTCAAATTTGTCTCTCTCTCACTCAATCAAACAATTGGAGATACTGGGTTCTGAAATCTGATTCTAGCTCTCATGTGACTTCTCTCTGTGTGTGATTCTGTCATAAGATCTTAACAAAATAAATTTTTCGATTGCGGAGTACTTTGTTCTTTCGGTCCACAATATCCACTGGTACCTTCTCGTAGGACAGATCCTCCTGGAGTGAAAGGGGCTCGTGGGCAAAGACGTGAGAGGGGTCTGGGTTGTACTTGAGTAGTATGGACACATAAAGCACATTATGTACTCTCAATAATTCTGGAGGTAGTGTCAGTTTGTAGGTGGCGGTGCCAATTCTGTCTACGATTTCAAATAACCCAATAAAGCAGAGATTTAGTTTCTCCTTCTTGCCAAACCTACCGATTCCTTTAAAAGGAGTGACCTCTAAGGAATAACCGATCACATTCCTCAAATTCTAAATCCCTCCTCCAGGTATCCCATAACTCTTCTGCCTGCTCTGAGTCGTCTGGATATTCTTCCTGATCTTAACTATTTTGGTTGTAGTCTCATCCACAAGATCTGGACGGAATAATTTTCTATCACCCACATTTTTCCAACAGATCGGCAATCTACATGGGCGGCCATATAACGCCTCTTAGGAGCTATGCCAATACTTGTTTGGTAGCTGTTATTGAGGTGAACTCTAGTAGGGGTAAATAATCATTCCAATGGCCCCCAAAGTCAATAA